TGAACATATAAAATGTTCAAAAGAAAAGAGACTTGTATTAGCTGGAGTGATAATACACACTTCTAAAGTAGTTTCTGAAATAAGAATTTGAAGAATAGATAAGAAATGAACGTCTGAATCAAAACAATGTCTACAAGATTTTAGAATGCTGTAAATTAAATTCATAGAACAGTTTCAAGTATTTACCAGTCAGTATATCGATTCATTCGAAACTGTCAATTCTACTATGTTTTTGTTTTTTAACATTGGTGGGACTCATATTTCTTTTTTTCATTTTAGTTTGTTAATTAATTTTCAAATGTTAATACGTTAATTTTTTTTATAAGCATTTACTTCAAATTATCTTATATCTTCTTTGTAATATTTTGCTATAAATGCTGATTAGAGAAATTAATAAGGTTTAATTATTAAATTAAGTTTTAAACTGCAAAGTAATTTCTACAGAGAATGAAATAATTGTGTAGAATATATAACATGCATTCCCTAATTTTAAACTTCGGTACTTAAAATTTGATCAAACTTGTTGTTGTTTCTTATCCCACTTGGACGACAACAACTTCTAGATCAAATCCATGAACCCGTGTGTTCCAATGGAACGAGGGCGGTTGCAGCTTCTTTTGTGATAGAGCACTCTATTTAGAAGTCTGACTTTGTTCCCTGCCATTGAAGAAGGAGGGCATTGCCTTTCTGGAGGATTTTTGTTAAACTAAACCACATTTGCGTATCGTATGGGAGAAAACCCGGAAAAACTACCTCAGGTAGACTGATTCACGAGGCCAGATGCTGAGCATCGCAAACGCCATCGAGTTCTCATTTTTTGAAACAGTATCTACAGCAAAGCCACCAGCAGATTGAATGTCAGCCCTAATGATCACCAGCGGAGTACGTTGTCACTGAGCCACGAGTCTTGACTGATCAAACTTTATGCACTTATAGTAATTTATACTAGGAAGAGCCCACGAACTATAATGAAGGAAGGAAAGTGCCTTTAGTGGTAAACAAATAACCTTCAGTTGCTTGTGGAGAAAATCCGTATACTAACACCAAGAAACCTGTCTATAGACGCTAGATGCTCTACATGACACTCGTGTTTGGAAGCAGAGACCTCAACAATGCCGCCATAGGATTCGAATCTTGATTTAACTGCACACCGAAGTTCTGAGGCATGGTTTAGCGTTGCTGGATTAGTTAGTGATATTTATTTCCACATCTCTGAAAATGTTTTGTACACAAAACAAGTAACTGAATAAATTAAAGGGAATTTATACATTTCACATTCATAGTAAAATAAAATTCCGCCATCAATGTTTTAAGGATTTCATACAGAGTATTTACCATTTATTTATTAGAAGTATATTATTAATTATATTTTTTTAATTTCAGGCCCGTCGAATGCAGCTATCATCATGAATAAATACGGGGAGCACCTCTGGGGTCTGATAGGGCCCTACAACGAAGGGTTTCCACTGGAATTGGTTTGTGAAGGAGAAAGAGGTACTTACATTTTCCACTCATTATTCTGCTTCATTTTTTTTAGCACATTGAAATTCAATTATTATTACAATAAGGAAAATCGCTTGCAAGTATAATGAACAGAGTAAAAAATACTGAGAAAAATGGCGAAATAATTTATTCTTAATTTCAATTATTGAAATATTTTTTTAATTCAGAATATATAAAAATATTTGGGGACTAGTTTAACTAATTGATCAAGTAAGAAAGAATAAAAGTATAATAAATGAATAGTTTAAAAAAACTAAAAAATACGCTTTTAGAGTTAATCAAACTAAAAAAAAAAAAATAATTTAACATAAGAATAAAATGACTGACGAGAAAATGAATGTCACTGTTCTAAAAGCGTGGGGTGCTCGATATCAATCATTATAATTTTTCACTAGTTTCATTCCGAAATGCAGAGTTAGTTTAAAAATGTCATACAAAGCATCCCACGCTTTTAGAACAGTGACATTCATTTTCTCGTCAGTCATTTTATTGTTATGTTAACAATTATTTTTTAACTTTTTTGTTTGATTAACTCTAAAAGCGTATTTATTAGTTTTTTTAAACTATTCATTTATTTTTTACTTTTTAGTTTGATTAACTCAAAAAGCATGTTTTTTAGTGTTTTTAAACTATAATATTTAAATGAGGTCCCGGTATGGAGGAGTGGAACTATAGTTCTTACAATAATGTAATTGTGAGTAAAACAAAGACTATCGCTTAAAGTAGGGCAAAATCGAGCCCAAAGAGTCAGTTACAAACAAACATACAGGTGAAACTAATATAAAAGCGTATTAAAAAGAATCAACTGTTTTCTTTCTGAAAGATGTCTGTAAACGTTTCTTTGCAGCTTAAATAGTGTATATGAGGAGAAACAGATCTCCAGGGAAAAAAGTCAGTTACATACATGCAAACATACAGGTGAAACTAATAAAAGCGTATTAAAAAGGGAGTTATTGTTTCATGCCATGATTTCCTGATTTAAATTAGGACACCAAATTTGCGAGATATTCAATAAATCTTGTACATATTCTGTGATTCTAGTGTAAAGCCACTATTGAAATACTTGACAACTTTCCTTTCTGGATTACAACAATAATAAAAGAAAGAATGTAATAAATATGATAAAGTTATTATTTTACACAAAAGTAAACTGGAGGAACTAAATATTATTTTTGCCGTATTGCCGTAAGACATCTTGCAACCTATACTTTCAGAATACTTCACCTAATATGTAAATACTGAACTCTTGCCATTTTTTTCTACATTATCATTGGCCTATATGAAATATATTAAAGAAAAGAAAAGAAGTCTATTAACAGTAACCTATACTTTGAGAATACTTCACCTAATATGTAAATATGAACTCTTGCCATTTTTTCTACGTTATCATTGGCCTATATGAAATATATTAAAGAAAAGAAAAGAAGTCTATTAACAGTAACCTATACTTTGAGAATACTTCACCTAATATGTAAATACTGAACTCTTGCCATTTTTTTCTACGTTATCATTGGCCTATATGAAATATATTAAAGAAAAGAAAAGAAGTCTATTAACAGTTATACTTTGAGAATACTTCACCTTATGTAAATACTGAACTCTTGCCATTTTTTTCTACGTTATCATTGGCCTATATGAAATATATTAAAGAAAAGAAAAGAAGTCTATTAACAGTAACCTATACTTTGAGAATACTTCACCTAATATGTAAATACTGAACTCTTGCCATTTTTTTCTACGTTATCATTGGCCTATATGAAATATATTAAAGAAAAGAAAAGAAGTCTATTAACAGTAACCTATACTTTGAGTCTTCATAATAACAGTATCATTGGCCTATATGAAATATATTAAAGAAAAGAGAATAACAGTTCACCTTTGAGAATACTTGTAAATACTGAACTCTTGCCATTTTTTTCTACGTTATCATTGGCCTATATGAAATATATTATCTATTAACAGGCTATACTTTGAGAATAAATACTGAACTCTTGCCATTTTTTTACGTTATCATTGGCCTATATGAAATATATTAAAGAAAAGAAAAGAAGTCTATTAACAGTAACCAAAATACTTTGAGAATACTTCACCTAATATGTAAATACTGAAATGTTATCATTGGCCATTGAAAAATATTAACAGTAGGAAATGTATCATTAAATGTGTAGGAAATGTCATTTGTAAAGAACCAATTGAAAGTGATAAGCACTTTCTTTTAATATAGTAATTACAATACTATTTTTTATGTCTCAAAATATATAATTGAGTTAATTTAAACTGGGACTGATGGCCGAATGGCTAGCGCTCTGGCGTTCGATACCACAGGTATCAGGTTCAAATCCCGGCTTTGCCCATGGGTGTTTGTAGTGGTTCAGAATCCACTTTTAGCAGTAGGGCCCGGTCCTAATAGGATCGTAGAGCGCTGCGGGGGCATTGTTACTCCACGTCCGTGGCTTACCTTCAAGTTACACGCGCCCCCTGGGTAATGCAAAGTAAGTTAGATCGGTGCAGCCCTTATGGCGAAGATCACTGTCTATTTGCCAGCTGCATTAGAAAAAAAAAGTTAGTTTAAACTATTATTGATAACTTCTTAAAAGTAGCAAGGATAAAGAAACATGTTTAAAAAATCATATTTACAGATTTAAAATATTATACAGATTTTACACAGATTTAAAAATAAACCATAAGAGATCAATTATAATATCCTGAGGATAACTTTATAAAGGGATATATATATATTATAGTAAGGAAATTATTATACTTAAAGATAATTTTATTCACATAGCAAGTTTGAATTTATCAGTAATAGGTTTCAATTATATAAAATTTTAATGATCGTATATAAGGAACAATATTTTAAATCTGAAATATGATTTTCTAAACAGGTTTTTTTTATCCTTGTTATTTTTTAAAGAAGGTATCAATAATAGTTTAAATTAACTCAATTATATATTTTGAGATTAAAAAAACCTATTATAATAGCTAAATTAAAATAAAGTGTTTATTACTTTCACTACGTTCTTTGTAAAAGACATTTTGCTAAACATTTGATCATACTCTGTGTAACTTTTAAAATACGAGTATTAAAATTTTAGATAATTAAAACCAATTACTGTTGAATTCGAACTTGCAATGTAAATAAAATTATGAATAAATTTATATATATATATTCCTTGTTAAAGCTATTCTCAGGATGTTATGTTGTTGTTGTTTCTTATCCCACTTGGCTGGCCAAGCCCACGAGCCCATACGCACTCATGATTGAAGGGGAAGGAAGCAGCTTCTGTTTTGATGGAGGATCCCTTAGGTAGAAGTCTGACTTTGGCTCCGTGACGCTTTTACAGTCATAGGAGACCGGGACCTACGGCTTAAAGTGAATTCCGAACCACTACAAACATCCATGGCCCCCCCCGGGATTCGAACCCAAAACCTGTGGCACCGAGCGCCAGAGCGCTAGACACTCGGCCATTCAGGTCCCAAATTTGTGAATGCCAACGGCGTTCCCAGATGGTCACCCACCCAATGATGCTTGACCCCGACCAATGATGCTTGACTCCGGTGATCTAACGAGAACCGGTATATTCAGTATGGTATGGCCGTTGGCTTCAGGATGTTATAAATAGTATATCATGGTTTATTTTTATAAGTAATTTTGCCTTGAGTTATTTTTAATGCCTTGAAATATGTTTGCTTCTTAGTCCGTTTTGTATATTTTGCATAAATTTTTGTTTTCTTTTTTGATTTGTAAATACAGTTCTTGCCAATCAATTTTTTGACATTTGTATTTGTCTAATCATTTTCAATTTCGTTTCTTTAGTTTGTAGTCACTTCGATTCTTGAGCAGCAGCCATTTTTTTTTTTTTTTTTGTCTGAGATTTCTGAACGTAGGGCTATCAGATACTTAGCATTGAGAATGCTGTGATGTTTTTGCTGTACAATTTGCATAAAGCGAATACTAGTAGTACCTTTTGTTGTGCAGAATTGCCATGCTTCCAATTGCCACCGCCCCCCTTCAGTTTGGTTGATTGTTGATAAAGAATTATTATTTTGATTAATTATTTTTTACAGAAAAATTGCCGTGAGGACAACATATATTTTACCTCACAAAATATTTATATCTATATACAATAAAAGTTTGTTCAGAAAATTCATTCTTTAGTTTAGAAATTATAAAAAATATACCTATGCATACCAATAATTTCGCTTACGCATTGCCATATGCATACTTGTTTAATTCAATTTCCAGAATTAATTTAGCGACCTGATGGTCAAGTGGTCATCCCTACCATTAAAATACTACCAAGTACTACCATTAAAATACTACCATCTCAAAAACCATTAAAATACTACCAAGTACTACCATTAAAATACTAACTACCATCTCAAAAACCATTAAAATACTACCAAGCAACTAGTTTAAAGTAAGAAACTGTAATAAACAATCTAAATCCTTTTTTTATTTTATTTCATGCAGCTACATCTCTCAATTATTTTGCGGCAAATAAAGAGTTTGGCAGGCTTTTTTTTTTTTTTTTGATTAAATAAAGGATTTCAAAAAGACACTAAAAGTTCTTTTGTCACTAAATTCAATTCAGTATCAACACTGATTTAGTAAATTAAAAAAAAAGAAAAATCAAATCTTGTTCTATTTTTATCGGATCTTCTAGTAATTTATTCCTTAAAGAATTCTTTCAGAGAAAACGAAATGATATTTACGTTGTAAACAAATTTCAATCTCTATTCCAGATTTATTTGCCTTTCTTCTACGACTCTTTTCAAGAAAAAGTCATTTTTTTTTCACTTTCTCTTTTCACTCCAAATTGAAACGCAAAATATTATTCTACAACTTGTACTGAATTTTCGTGAAGTGTTTCGTTAACCAAAACTCTGGGAATTATTTTGAATCCAGATAAAGATATATTAAAATTATTTTAAATAACTTTTCATGCAAACCTACCATTAGTTTTGTATTTTCATTAGTTTTCTTTGATTTTTAATTCTTTTTTTTTTACTTTTAGACACTTACTTTATTTAATAAATTTATAGTTTGCAGTGTGCAGGCTGGGAAACCAGATTATAACAGGATGTGATTGGACTGAGATACATGAGGCGTAGGTTGGTGAACTCACTGCTTTATTTACACATGCACAAACACTACACATATACAATTAGAGACATTTAAAGACATATAATTATATATTCGTGGAAGGAATCGGAATGGAAACCCAATACTGGGCTACGCGCATAAAGCGTGAAACATACTTCCTCTCTGGGTAAGAGTCTTTAGGCCAATTGGCCATTTCTCCTGAATGCCGAAGGGTTCTTGCCAGTGTAGGAAGATGCATGATTGCAAGTTCTATAAAAATGATAATGTCCATTATCTTTTTCTCACTATATTCAGAAATAGGAGTTCAATAAAATAAGCTCCACTTAAACTAATTGGAATTTTTTTTTAAGCTTTTCATTTATGGATTAGTGAATGTTGCACATATATCTATAAACTCTCAATGCATTTCATTGGAAATTTTTTCATTCAAGTTTTTTAAAAGTAGAAAAGAAATTAATTATTTCACTTATAAAATATAGACTATTCTCATATAAATCATCTCCTTTGTTTTAAACTTGTAAACACTCCATATCTTAATTCAAATTCGTGAATCTTAAAATCCACTCACAATTTCTACATGAATTAATTTTGAATACTTATATTTCATTCGTTTTCGTGGCTCTAGTAACTTACAACATACAATTATCACGTCCATGAACGTATAGTGTAAGTGTACTTCAATGCAATGTAGCTCTTGCCGCAGTTGCAAACAGAGACCAAGTCTCCTTTGAGTTCGCAAGCAACGCTTACAGGTTTTCAATGTGACATCGGAGCAAAAAAATAACATCCTTTTATCCCCTTCCGGCGATTCCCTAGCCGGCTTTCAGATGGTTGTTCGTTTATAGAAGAAAACAAAATACCCGATTTAAAGAGGTTTGGAGAGCAAGGCTCTTAGTAACAAGGCTGCTGTTTTGTGAATCAATCAACAACGATGAGAGATGTAGATGCAAGAGAGCATCATCGTGTGGGTATGCAAGATGTCCATTCCTCAGATCTTCTGTCACAGCAATGTATTAACAGAATTATCTCCGCCATTTCACATTTCTGTGACCACAAGTTCCCCCGATCTCATTCCATTGGATTCCATGCCCTTGTGGTTGCTTTGTGGAGTTTAGAGTATGAGTTATGCCATTTTTTCGACAAAATATCTCTGAAGCTTGTAAGGTTGTAATTCGAACCCCGATCACCAATGATTCGATTTTTTAAACCTAAGTCGTTGATGAAGCTTTTCACTGCTTTCTGAATGTAGTTGTATTTCGTGCTTTTCACATGTATCACCAGTAAGAACTTCGGGAAATTATCGATGATGACTAGTAAATATTTGTTACCTCCGGAATTTGTTGCAGTTAGACCCAAGTGATCGATATGTATTATTGAAAATGTTCTCTATTCAGGCTTAATAGGATGTAGCAGTCCTTGTTTGTTTACCTCCAGGAAAATTATTCATTTATGGTTCTAGTACACCTTAAAACTTTCTAAGCATACCTAAAAATTCCAATGGACACTTGTTAATCAGCGCAATTTTAATATAAGATGATACCATACTAATTCCACTAACCATCACCAAACTGTTATCTCTTTTCGACACAGGGCTTCCTTAATTCCCTTCAGTTCTTTCACTTCAACTGTTAATACCCTGCTCTCTAATTTTATCAAATTTATTTTCTGGACACGCTCTAACGAAATGCGTATTATAGTTTTAAATGGAGCAACTCCTGTTATTTCTCTGCAATGGACGCCGCTATTGTGTCTAACTACTATATTTATTATTATTACTCCCGGTTGCAAGTCGTCCAATACTGAAAGTAGAATTTTTCTATCATACTTGGTTGACTTATTCAACAGTGATTTCGATCTAGACCTAAACTCGCATTTCTTTCATAGTATATATTTTAATTTCCGTTTTTGAATTTAGCCAAGTTACTTTCGTTTCTTACATTTTCATATTGGGCTAGTTTATCGGCAAATTCTGACTATTTAATTATTTTCTCTCCTTATTATTTTCTTTTATCACAACAGGATTTTCTTTTTTGACTGAATTGTTATGATTAATTCTCTACGAATATCAAAATCATTTACTTTAGTACCGTGTAACCATTCATCAAAATAGTTTTGTAATTTCTATACGAAATCTTTCCATTTGTTTTTGGGTAGTTTGGCATGGTAAAAAAACTTTTGTTGAATTTATATGGGCCTAATTAAAATTTTTATTAATAGTAAATTCTTAATGTGTACATAGTCATTTGTAAGTTCTTCCAGAACTCTCATTGTAATTTGGTTAAACTCATAGTGTAATAAAGTAACTAAATGACTATCCCAATTCTCAGGTCTTAAATTTAAACGTTCCGTTTGTCGTTTGAACAATATAAGGTAAAAACTGATGTCACTATACCTCATTTCATTCAAATGCATTATCTTAGTAAATGCAATTACTAGAAATTCCATTTTCATTTCTATTTTCGCTTGATACATTATTTTTTTTCTTATTCTTAAATTTTCTAATTCGAATTGTCTTTCTAATTCGCGTTCCTTTTCTTTTCTGGAAGCAATTATAATTTTTAAAAATCATGCGTGAATTTCTCAACATATTCTTTACTTTTCGTAATTAGCTATTTAATTTTGACAACTGCGTTATCAGGTAATTTTACGTTTAATTTTTCAGCAAAAGAAATTAAATCTGCCTTTCTCGTTTTTGCAAAAAATGCCATTTTTTTACAGACTATTTCTTAACAATTTGTCTCATAAAAGAAAATCAAAATGAGTTCCTTAATACAATTTCACACAAAAATTCAATAAATAAAGTAAATTTTTATAAAAAATTTAAAATAAACTCCTCTACAATTTCACACAGAAATTGTAAAAATTTGCGCCGAGATGGGTTTCCAGACGGAAATTTCATGCTATACACCTTCTTAAAATGTTTGGATTCGAACCTGAGTTCCATTAGCATGTTTGTTCATCCCACTTCTGAAATTTGTTGTCTTGTATTTTCTATTTGGTTTTCTTTTAGACTTCTCCTTATATAAAACAACAATATACATTTATTACAAATACATTTCCCTTCAAACAGTCACTACTCTCGTTTTAAACAAACTTTCATTGTTCTACATTCTGTCAGTCCCATAGCATCTATGAATTATTACGTCAGCGCTTCCAGCGCCATCTATCCATGACGACAGAATTTATAGAAATTAGCATACAAATATTTGCTAGTTAACTGCTTTCATAGCATATATTGAATTTATGAAAATAAAGATCTGCGTATTTTAATACTTTAAGCAAGCAAAATTATCACAAATAGAAAAAAATGTTTTAAGCAAAATGTCGTGACATTAAATTCAATAACAAAAGTAAGCCCATGGCAGCATTCGCTTAAGTGGAAGGTCACAAAGTTATGATAGTGGCAGAACTGCATGTGTTAATATATGTTTATATCTATTGTATTTTTGCGAAACCATGTATGCGTCTGTAAATATGTATATTGATGAATATTT